AATAAAAATAACTTTGCACCAAAAACTTTTAAAGTTATTTTACTCTTCAAAAAAATTTACCGTGGTTAACACCATAGTTGTGTAATTCGTAATATTACTACAGGCTTTTTAAATAAACCGTCGTATACTGGATGCTGTCTATTAATCGTTTTAGCAAATTTTTTTTTCGTAGTCCCCATTTTAAAAAAATTGGTAAAAAAATAAAACTCCACTTAGATGGCCGTCACTTTTCTAAATAACATTTCCCCAGATTTTCCAAAATAAGTGTACTTTACTCTTGTCTCAAAATCAAATATTTAAAGGCTCTCGTAAATTACGTGTGTTTTACTGTATTTTGTTGGTGCATGTTTAGTTTTAGGGAATGTAAAAACTTTTATCAAGAATAACTTTTCGTCGAAAAACCCTTAATAAATAAGTTTCCCATATGGTACATACTTTGTGGATGACACTGTATATGGGTATATACAGAACAGTCACAATCATTATTTGTTAAACATTTTCTTGACTTATGTGTTTTCTGAGCCTGACAACTTTGTTCACTGTTAACTTTCGAGAGTATAAAAGTTGAACAAGAAGTGAAGCCAAAAAATAAATCGACGACAACATACCAAGTATTTAAAGGCGTTACTTAATCGGTCAATCACCCGGACTCGAACCTTTTTCTTCCTATGCAAAATATTCACGAATTTTCGTGTTATCCCATGAAACCGAATATGTTGGTCCTCGGAACATGACATGTTGAAAGAACAAATTCTGGTTGTTTGTAATATCTCGCTGTTCACACAAATAATATATCAAAGTCCTAGCCAAGTGAGTTTTAGAAGTGTTTCCTTAGACATGACTGATTATAGCTACAGTCTCAGGTGGGAGGTTCGTCATTATAAAGGAATATGCAAGTCGAAAAAAAAAATACCAACACCGTATGAAGTGTAGGGGAGATCGGCACAAATTTTATTGATTGAGACTCAATACGATTATTTTTAACTTCTGATTGAGTTCATCGTAGAGAACACTTTTTCAACAATAGAACGTAGCTGTCTTTGAGTTTGTTGAGCATCTGAATACAAAATATCAGTCTAGGATATAGTCACAACTTTCACAACTTATTCATGTCTTAAGAGAGTTAAACAGTGGTTTTTATCTAAACAGAAAAAGTTTTAAATTACGAGATAATACAATTTGATATATTCGTAGTGCATGTTCAGCTGTAAGATTCAATTTCTAGTTACAGTTTCGTGTTCAATATGTACGAAACTGCTAAATACTTTTGTATTTAGAGAAGTTCCAAATGCGTTATTAATTACTTTAATTGTATCTGTAGTACAATTAATGATGTAATTGTTACAAATATTGTATATGAGTGATTTCATATACAATATACAATATTCTTTGTCAAATCAAGTCTATTATCAAGGTATTTTAACATTTCATTTTGAGAGTGAGTTGGTATAAATCTGAATCAGTTCCTGTCAAACTATTTTGAGTTATATGGAATGTAGGTTATATAGGATTGACAAATTTGAAATATGAAAGTAGATAAATGGATGAATTAAAGCTGGGATACTATATAAGTGTAGTATCTTGGAGCAGTGATAACGAATCGAAATTAACCAAACTTTTCAGTAAATTGTGAATCTGAAACGATTCACGAGCACAGTGCACTTTGAAAGAAATAAAGGTTAACAAATCGCACTTTGCCATCACTGTCTGTGTATGTCTACTTTGTAAAAACATCTCTGAATCTGTTTGCGAGATATTATATTATCTAGTAGAAGGCATATCTTGAGGATCATCTCAATATATGGCAAGATGACAACTCTGTCATGTTGTCATCGTTGTCATTGTTGTCATCATAATGTCCAAAATTGGCAACTAAGCCAAATATCAATAAATACTCAAACACTCAGTTTCCTATAGAAATGTTCCTTTGAAGAAACATTGACAAAAGCAAACTCCATCAGAAATTGCAATAAGCATTTGAAATGAAAAAAGACCCCATTCGTTGGCAAACCTGAGAATGATCGACTTATGGTGAGATACAGGTATAAACAGGTGATGATCATAAAAAATTGATCACAATGTGTTTTTTCTTTATTTTACTCGAGTCATTGCTGCCCAATAGTTTTTCAATGCCCGTCATATTTAATGTCAAATATTGCTTGAATTCAGGGAAAAAGTGTCGTAGAAAAAATGTTTGTTGAATCATGACATACAAAAATATATAAAGAGAAAGGAATTTTGTCAATATATTTGCTGTCATCAGAAAATATCAATAAAAAAAGATACCTGTACCATCCAAAGTAAATAATTCTATCTACTATCTGATCTATCTACTACCTACCAGGTAATTCTATCTACTTTGATTTGTCCCAGGCATCAAGAGTAAGTCATACAAATGTTTTCAGAACTCTTTATCGACACAAATTTCACACCTACAAAATTAAAATGATTATTGAATTGAAGGAAGATTATTTCTATAGAATAATTGCATTTTGTAAGATCATTTCGGAATGTGACAATCGTAATCCAGGTTTTTTTAGTACCACGTCTTTCTAGAATGAATGTATTTTTATCTGAATAAGCAAGTAATGTGGTACGCCATATTCACACCATATATCTTCAAAAACTAAATATTTGAGTAGAAATGTCAGGTAACAATAGTACAGAAACAGTGCGACAGTTACTCGATAATAACTTTTCGGGTCGGTGGATTTAAGGCAAAGGTACTACAAAATGGCCACCTAGGTCCATTGATTTGACTCCACTGGACTTTTTTCCTTGGGGAAGGTAGAAATCAAAAATCACTTTCCTGTTCGATATTGAATGAAAATTTTAAAAAGTATTTAGTTTTTTATGGTATGGCTTGTTGTTGGAGACCTTATAAATAAGAGACCTTTCAAATTAAGTATCATTCGACTATCATTTCCATTTGAAATGTTTGACATTTGGGTTGTTATGTGTCCTAAAAATGTGTCCCACTGAAAACTAAAGTTAACGTGTTCCACGATTTTTTCAGTCTCAATATTAAGAGACTTGGTCAGTGTGGTTCGGTTTAACTGAAATGCACTGTATACTATGTCTGACATTTGAACAAAACACCCGTTACACCTCAAATTGCATCACTTTCCCCCAGTAGAAGAAGACGACCTCAAGTCGTTAACAAACGAGAAAGATGAGTAGTGCCGTAATTATTACCTAGACCGGGATAGGGCAACTAGTTTATTTTCTGTAATCATTGAAGCTCTGATAGTCGATGTAAAAAATTGTAATGAGGTATATATCTGAAACAGAATGTGTGCATTGTTTCAGAAAAAAGACGACAGGAATGTTATTGAAAAAGCTGATGCCAATATTAATTGAAAGCCATTGATTTGTTCTACTGCAGTTGTGATGAGTGATGAAAGGTATTCATGAAAAATGGTTTGGGTATGATCTTGTATCAAAATTATGTCGAAATTCTGAATGTAATTGAAATATTTAGTGAATAATTTAAGATTGTAATCAACATCGATAATAAGTCCTATGGCTTCATTTAATTTTGTTGTAAAAAAGCGTGGGATGCTTTAAATTATATTTTTATTATGGCTCCAATCTAGCAAACAGCTCCTAACCAAGTATTTATAACAGTGTTTATTTAGCACCCCACCATTTTTTCAACAAAATTATTTCTTTGTAAATAGATTTATTCTGATTTCAGACTTATTAAAAGTCATTATCGATGTTGAATACAATCTTAAATTAGTTTCGAGTTATGTTTTATATATTGTTGCTATTAAAGCGTATTTTTTTTGGTTTTTAAAACTACTATTTATTTTTCACTTTTTAGTTTGGCTTGCTAGTGAAGCGTATTTGTTTTAATATAAAATATATACGCAGACATAGTGGTTGTCTCACTTGATTTCACACAGAGACTGTGTGAGGAAATTATTCAATCCTGGCGATCCTGATCAGGATAATGAGATAAACTTATTAAATTATTGTATTGTCACCGTATAAAGTTCAAAATAAATCTGTCCATTCAAAGTTAATTGAAAAGAATTAATTAAAAATAAAATTAACTGTCTGGAAAATATTCCACTGAGAATAGGAACTAATTGAGTAGTGAAGTAGACACAATTGACACGACAGTTTTGTCTAACAGCAAATATAAGAAATTATCTGTCCCAAAATGTACAAAATTTGTAAGGATGAAGCATAGTAGAATAATACAACCAGTAGGCTATCTTACCACGTGATCCGACCGAGTTGCCGGGGACCTTCAACCCCTCTTATTAGAATGAGATTCTCATCCAACGCGTTCAGTGCTGTAGTATCGAAGGATTTGACGGTCCCAAGGACATCGGATTAGTTATAATAAACGGTTGAAAATTGATATTGTGTTTAGTTTATTCGTTGTTGTTATTATTGTTTTTAGTTTTTGTAGTTGGTTTTAAATAAGTAATTTACCACAAAATATTCTATAATAACCTTAAATTTGGTTTTTATATGAGCGCACGGTGACCAAGGTCACCGAGAACCTTGTGAATTTATGAATGAAAGTAGTGGGAGTGGTCTTACTGGTTGGTTTTTACTATGAATGGAGTTCATTTTTGAAACAGATATAGATGTAATTAATCGATTAAAATTTTCATTCATTTTACAGTCTGTGGCAGCTGAAATTATATAATGAACACGATAAGGGTTATGTGAACTTCAAAATGAGTAGGTCTACTCCATGATTAGGTTATGTTAGATTCAAAGTGAAACCACTTGCGCTCTCTCCTTCAAATGAGTCGGCAGCATCATAACTTTTCAAGCCTGTGTGACCAGAAATAATAAACTAGAGTCAATATTACAAAGTCTACCTATTGAGAATAATTTTTTGACTATCAATTCCCACTTGAAAATTGCTAGGGAAGAGCCAAGTGCTTGCAGAGTCGTTTGGCTATTATCAATTTGCAAGGAAGTTTTCAACCAATCCCTCCACACATAAGTTAATGGCGAAGACTCAAGCTTGAGATATGGTTGCCCGGGTAGGTTGATATATCTGTCCTGAAAAATTAAGCAATAAAAGTCCTGATCTCAGAAAAATATCAAACCATTTCTGTTTCCGAAAAAGCGCTTTCCGCAATCACCAGAAATGTAATAATGGTGGTAAAAGAATCCATGCAGGAGTATACCTACAAATTTTATTTGTAATATGTCTCTAATTGTTCTAAATTTCATTTTCCATTCATGTGGTGTGCTTATTTTTCATTGACTTTGATTTTATCACATGCTGTTCAATGTTAAAAAATTATTTAACTAAATAACAGATCTTCACAGCTTGACTCTGTATAATATAATATTTGTTCGGGTAGTGGCTAGATCGATTAGCCATTTAGTTTCTTTCGAATGACTTTTCGACTTCTTCCAGTAGAACTGAAACTTCTGACGTTCCATACATCCAAAACCAGCACTGCAAGAAGTCAAGTACTTCATCTCCTGAAGATGCCAACTTGGTTACTAACATGCGCTTCGAGAAGAGTGTTGTAGTTTTGTTGTTTGGGAGCAGTGCTAGTTTCGGATTCCTTCAAAATTTTCAAAGGTTGAACTAAAACTTCATACGTTTCCGATACTGAAGTATATCGGTACTATCTGTAGCTTCGTTCTCATAAAATTATCGAAAGTGTTTTGTATGGAATACTTTGATAAGATCGATTAGTACTAATGAGAGATTTCTGAATCCAATATATACAAATTGCTTTCTATTCCAGGTCTCTGCAACAGATCCAGACTGTGGAGTCAACGCTGTTGTTAACTATACTCTCGGTGATGGATCTGGAAAGGTGAAAGAGTTCAAAGTCCGTTCTGATACGGGGGAAATTTGTATTAGTTCGCCGCTAGATTACGAGACCAGGAATGTATACGAATTTCCTGTTATAGCAACGGATCGAGGTGAGTGAACAATTAAAATTATTATTGTCTGAATGTTATATGGAGTAATACCTGTGTTGTTGTTGTTGTTGGCATTTCTGAATTATTACTTTATTTCTTTTAGATAACATTTTGGGAATAACTTCTGTTCCCTTGCTCAGAACTTCCAAAACTTCGAAGATTGCACTTAATCTTGTTCAAAAATATTACTTCAATATCTTTGGATTTATTTAAATTTTTCACAGTTCAACATTCTTTTTTCGAAAGACGGGGAGCCATTTATCATTGAAATCAATTTTGAATATATTGCTATATATTTAGTAAGCAATTTCTTTTAACGTTTGTTTGAAGGTGATTGACAATGTTTCGTGATGAATTTCACTAGTTCGGACTTCCATTGTCTACTATATAAAATGATTTGAAATCCCTGAAGCAAGTGAAAAAGAATAATTAAAAAAGAATAGTTGAAAATAACAATAACAATAACAACAACAATAACAATAACAGTCATCACCCGAAGACGATTCTAGATACCAACAATTGAAACGTCGTGAACTAACGTGACTTGGAATCTCTACACTTTTTATTTTTTATTATTTTCTCCTTTTTTCATTCCTTTAATTTTTATTTATTCAATTATTATATTTTTACTTGTAGGTTATTTCACTATCATTTCATTTCAGGTTTATTGTTGCTTAATATAATTGTTATTTTCAACTATTCTTTTTTAATTATTCTTTTTCACTTGTTTCAGGGATTTCAAATCATTTTATATAGTAGACAATGGAAGTTCGAACTAGTGAAATTCAATTTCTTTTAGTTTCATTCTCGTTTCGTTCAAAATTATTTCACATTGTCACAGATTTGCACAGCCTCTTGTTCAAATGTATTTAGCTAATTTAGATGTTTCTGAATTTTAATGTTATTTTGTGTTCAAATTATCGTATTATTAATAGTTAGTCTACATACACGAGTAATAAATGTTTACTATACAGCTCAAACACAATTTTTGTCTTTTTTTATTCGTTTTGTAGGAGTCAATGGAGATGTTAAATTATTTTCAATTTTCTATCGGTTCGAACATTAAATTTAAAAACGGTTTATTATATGTTTTCAGAAATTCTAGAAACGTGGGGTGTCGAATTAAAAAATGAGATGTTGACTGCTGCTCTTTGGTTTTGTTTCTATTTTTTCGAATGGTCTCATTTAAAAAAGTTAGACATTTTCTATAAGTTACACAGTTTTTAACATCTATTGTGTTTGTGTATCTCATTTCTCTGAACAGATGTTTTGGGAAAAAACTTTTTGGGTTTCTGCTTCTCCAGCGCAAGAACTATTAGAAACTTCCAAAGAAAAAAGATACAAAATAAAAACTCTTCATGAAATATTTTCAACTCTAATGAAATATTTTCAATCAGTGTGACCGACAATCAGATATTAAACCCATTTCCTTGGTTTTTTTAAAAGATTTATTATAATAAAATATAAGGAACACTTAGCACACCTAATATGTGGAAGATCAGAAAAATCAACAGTCGCCCATCATATTTTGCAACAAAACCATTCCAGACTTTTTCGAATTTCGAATGACAAGTCACTACACTACAGAGCCTTCTGGGAAATTCAAAGGACAAAGTTGAGAATATGACAAGTCATACACTATGTATGTAGGGTATAGATAAGGACAATATTGTATGTAATTTAGGGTAATATTCCTCTTGAAGATGATCACTTGGTGATTGAAACACATGTCAAGGTGTTAAAAATAATGGTTGGATGTTGAGATTAAACTCCAGTAATATATTTCTAGGTTCATAACTATTCAAACTCAACTAAGTACATCTAGCTTTTTAACTATGACGAAAACTCATTCGGTGACTGACCTTTCATATCAGCTCTCAAAAGTGAGACTCTGCCAAATGCTGAAAACTTGATGAGGTCAGGAGAGTATGTGCTCTGCTACTAGGGCCTTGAATTTCCTTGTGGAGAATAGTACACTTCAAGGTTGCAGACCATGGTACATTTTTCTTTTTTGAGAATCTGAATTAGTTTGCGACTGATTTCGTCTGATAAGTATGCAACACAAATGTGTGTCTGGTAAAGTAGGTCTCCTGGGGACGCATTTCAGGGAGGCTGCTCCCAAGGCTACAAGGTACTAACTGCACCTGCCAACTAGCAGATGTTCTGCTGATCCTCTCAGGTAACCTGAATGTACACCTCTGGAATCCTACCCGTGGACCTTATGAGCTTCTGGAATATTCTTTGCGTCAGCCATAATATTTGAGAGATTTCGGTCGATAGGTCGATTTTGACGTTGTCAAATGTTGAAGGTGCGAGACTCCCGCCTCCGTTACCGTAGCAATATTATTATATGAGGCCTTCTGTAAGTTAGCATAATGCTGTACATTAGATTCAACCATGCATGGTTTTTTTTGCCTCTAGCTCTTGTGAAATTTCTTTCCTCTTCTGATGCAGATTCTACTTCAGATTAATGATATAACCAATATGCTGTTGATGAGGTGCCTCCAGGAAGCAACTAGTTTCCTGGCTGCACCACCTAACCTTATAGGTTTGTTGACATGATCTAGTGTTGGAGAACTGAAAAACTCTCGCTCGTGATTCGATTCGAAAGACAGTAGGTGTCGTTCTAGTCAACGGTTGTCTATTAAGATTCAGGATCGGATTCTTTGGTTAGTTTAGGGTAAAAAAGTTCTACGAATAGTTAGATATAAGAGATCCATCACGGTAAAGCCGCACATTACCGTGACAGGAAGGCATCAGTTGTCTCAAAGATGTTATATTTACAATGATGTAAAACACAATTGTCATATGTCATTCTGACATTGATTGACAGTAATCAACAACTTCATACGTGGTATCACCAAAGTGAGAATGAAATTGTGCAATAAGCGAACACGTACCTAAGTGAGAACTCATTGATTCCAGATCACCTCGTATACGCTAGAAATAAAACAACGGTTGGTGCTGTTACATAGGGATTCACGTTCTCGTGAGTATCGATTGTAACGAATGACATCGTGATTCCGTATCTCTTTTGTTTTGTTTGCACCTCATAAATACTTATGCTTGGCATTGCCAACCCCATAAATAGATGAGGTAGGTGTTTCTGAACTTAACCTTGATCATACCTAAACGGTATGTTTCAACAATCATCCTACATCTTCCCATGATCAAGAGCTGATGATGGCAGAGCATATTCTATATTGAAAAACGTTTTGGCATAGCATAGAGTAGACATTACCAGAGGTAATAACAAGCTGACCTGCAATATAAATTTTTGAAACATATTCACGAAAGAGTATAGTACAAAAATTGTTCCATATTGTTAGAATATGCTTAATTTTTCCGGAGACGCCATCTGTAGGATCGACAGAAAGCTCAGTTCACGAAGAGGCTCCTCAAAATAGTTATATTGATAAAAACACAGACCGAATCGATTCCGATGCTTATTCCGAACCTTCTTGTCTGAACAATTCAGAAACATAGTGATGGAAAAAGTATAAGTGAAATATTGTTTTAGTGCTTCTGTTTCCAGTTGGTCGGTAGCCGGTCGGTTCGACGTGGCTGCTTTGTTCACTCACTGAAATTGACTGCCGTGTTGGTCGGTGGTTCAAGCCCCAGGCTGAACGATCGATTTTCACTTGCTATCGTCCAACCCGTGTTAGGAATCAAACGTTGAAAGTTAAGACCTCGTTAGTCGTTAGCTCGCTCAAGTTTCGACTTCCTATGGTTGTCGTTCGTAGGGGTGCTGCTGGTTAACGGAAAAACAGATTTTTTAAAACATATTTTCAACATTGAAAATACATATAAAACTGTACCTACTTACTTATATGAACTATCTATTTTCATTTTTTATAGATTTTTTCTTACTCTAGTGAAGTGATTTTTTGTATGATTTTATTCATTTGCCGATCATAAACTATGTAATTTTTTGGAAAGTTGAAGTACATTAAATTATGATCAACTTAAAAAATGTGCATGATCAAATCATTCAGTGTCTTTTGTCTTTCAATTACAGAATTAACACAAATTCTTTCTCAATTAGGTAAATTCAGATATTTATTATTTTGTTTTGTAAAACATAATCATTAAAGTAATATTGAATCTTTGCCTTTTAATATAATTTTTATTATTATCCAATAATTGGCGTACTCAAATCTTTTACACAGTTTTTAACATCTATTGTGTTTGTGTATTAATTTATCTTTCATCAGTTTGCATTTTTTTATTTATAAAAATAATATTTGCTTCGAAACAGCTGAATGGAACAATACAAAAAAAATATAGAAATTCATTGATTGTCAATTCAAATTTAACAAATATGAATATAAAAGACCCCAGCAACCTAATTTTGAAATTACATTTATTAACTTTGATGTGTATGACAAACTTTCTTTGGTATATTAAATTATTGGAAAATATGCTTTTGGTTTTGTTCAAAAGTATTATCATTTTGTATGCAATAGTTTTACTATCACCAGTTATACTCATTGAAAATACATACATTGAAAATACTCAAAATCTAATACTTTCGTTTGAAGGTGATTGACAATGTTTCATGATGAATTTCATTATTTCGGACTTCCATTGTCTGATATTATATAAAATGATTTGAAAACCCTGGACTAACTAAAAAAGAAGAATTAAAAATTAAAGAAGAAGAATAAAAATGAATATCTAAAAAAAATTATATTGAGTAAAAAACCTCAAATGAAATAATAGTGAAATGAAATACAAGTAAAATTGGAAAAATTAAACAAAAAATAAATAACAAGTTGAGAGTTTCCAAGCCAAGTTAATGCACGACGTTTCGATTGTGAGTATCCACAATCGTCTTCGGGTGATGACTCACCCCCATACTCACAAGTATGAGTTGCTTTTAGTACGTTTTATCTTTACGTGTACTTGTTATTTTAGAGTCTCAAATTTAAGAATTAGTGGAATAACTGTATCATCTAGAGGAAAACTGAAATGAGCTCTAATTGAAATTGATAACTTGTCGCAAAAAGTACAGGAGTAACGTCAGCGACACCACGGTGAATTCTCTCTTTCGCCAAGTGGGAGGTTGAGAAGGGAAAAGAAACATTCCAAACTCCGTGAACTCGGCGCAGATCTCTTGTACTATTACGGTAAACCAGAGAACGGATATATTTTACCTCAACAAACTTTTCTGTTACTAAAATCCGCGCACGGCACGGCACCGTGATTTATATGTGATATTAAGAAACCGTAGATTATTTATCTACTCACCAGCTTTACACAGGGCCGGTTCGAGGATTCGTAAATTTAGACTGGTACTTTTGGATTTATTCTACGTCAGGGATTCTGGTTCAACCTTTGAATACATTGATACTCACTATTGAGAATTTACATTCCACCAGATATGAAAAATGGGTTTGAAACATGTAACAATACCATTCGATGTCAACAAACCAATCTATTCGCTATTATATTTTCACATGGTTTCTATGAGTTTATTGTGTATGTTGGAAAGCCGTGTAAGCATAAGTTGAGCAACATTGCGCCATTCTCTTTCCAACAACGACAATATAGCCATTAAGGTTTAGATATAATATATGGTGGTGTGGAGACTTTTTGAACCTTGAGACAAATTTCGGCATTGTAGTTTCTGCATTGGAAAAAACAACTTGATTACCAAATCGAGCACCAACGTTACCTCATCGCCTTCGATATAATGTATACCGCAGTAGTAGACGAAAAGTCAGGTATAAATACCTTTAAACCACGGCCAAAAATTCGAAAAATTGCTTTGACACAAACCTTCAAAGGGTTTATTACGATTTTTGATGATGCCAACTCGAGTGCTAACCGCTCGTCTTTTTCTCAATTTTTGTGTTAGTGAAATACGCACTTGTTGACAAAATCAATTTTTCTCCTAGATTTTTTTTGGGACTCTATATTTATAAACACTTCAGCCGGATCTGTTTGTGAATGTGATAAATTCCTATTCGCCGAACATTCCTATTGAAATAGAAACATTATCATAAATGAATAAAAATGAATTTTTGGAAACTAGTTTTGTTTCTGATTTGAAAACATGGAAATGTAATTTGATTTGATCATAAATCGATTTATCCCACATTTCGGATAATATTATGTGTGTGGAATGATTTTATTTATGTTCTCCGGAACAATTGGCAGGAGTTGATCGTATATATGTGTCGCATGGAATTTTTACATTGATTTTATCGATTTTTGTTATGTAAATATATGTTAAGGTGATAAATGAAATCAATAGCCTCCATTTATTAAATTGAAAAAAATCAGCATTTGAGATTTAAATATTTTATGAAGTTTCAAGTAAATAAACAATGAATATTAAATTATCTTTGATGACATCTGTTTCACTGTGATTTAGAATGCTTCAAGTTGAAATTAAGTATTAGCGGATTCACCAATTATTTCCTCACCACCATTTTATGTTGGCGAGTCCACCAATTACTTAATTTTTTTTTATAGTTTTCTTGACCTGACATTGATCAGTGAATATACACATATTTATAAAATAGTATGACTACAAAAATTATGGCATTTTCAAAGGATTCTTCAGAATAATCATTCTGCAAGGCTTTATACATTTTAGTTTGGCGTTTTTATATATTTCATTTTCCGATTCATTACGTTTTATGAGATATAACAATGTATGTGTATTTTTCGTTTTAGATCTTTTCCCAAAAAGTGTTTCCTATTTATATAATATACCTATCAAAATTTCCTTTTTTAAATTCCTATCCTTAACAGCAGAGTAATAATATTTTTGGTATCATACATTAGGCCATTCCTATATTTTTAATAGAGATGCAATATAAATTTCAATATTTTGAAAATAAAAATGTAAAAGTAGGTGTGTACCGTTACAACCTTTATCACAGTTGGAGCCATGATAAAAATCATTCATTACTGCAAAAGTTTTAAGCAATAGCAATTTTGTAGTGATGATTTGAATTATTTCTACTTATGAGTCAAACGAAATGATCATGATGAAGGAATTCAAATTTCTACATCGCGAATTAATTATTTGTTTTTTCCATATTTTTACTGTGAAAAATGTGTGGTCTACATTGAGAAAAATATCCATAACAAAGCATTGTTTTTTTTCAGGGGGGCTAAGTACCACAGCCATGCTCAAAATCCAAATCACCGATGTCAACGACAACCGCCCTATTTTCTACCCACCGGAATACTACGTTTCGCTCCGCGAAAGGGGTTCGTCATCCTCAGCCACAACTCCGATAGTCGTCGTAGCGGCCACCGATGCCGATTCTGGAAAATTCGGTACCGTGACCTACAAAATCGTAGCAGGAAACGAAGCAGGGCTCTTCAGGATAGAAAGGGCAACAGGGGAGATTTTCCTCAGCAGGCCTAATTTGCTTTCGGCTAGAATACAACCTTATCAGAGACTGAATATAAGCGCTGTCGACGGAGGTAACTTGAAGTCTCTGAAGGATGCTGAGGTTTTCATCAGCGTGATAGATTCCGCTCAGAGGCCGCCTATTTTCGAACATTCTAGATACACCTACTCTGTTAGTGAAAATGTCAGGAGAGGGACTTCTGTGGGCAACGTGAAAGCTACCGTTTTTGATAATGGTAAGTTATAGCTCAAAGTATTTCATTCATACTAATTTACGACATTTTGACTTCTCTCAATACATGTTCAGAAAAATCTGTAAGTGGTCTAAGTCGTTAATTGTACTTGAATTTATCCCAAAGGAATTGATGTATAACAAGTGATATTTCCGTTATTTGTAAAGCTGGAAAAATTGAACAAATGCGGTCTTTGAAGACGCCAGAATGACCTTCTGAGATTATTTTTTGAATCGTTGTAACCATTGCAGTTTCTAAGGAACTACCCATAATTTTAATTTTCAAATGACATTCCCATAACTGTATATAATATTTGAGTCTTCCTGTCGTTGCAAATACAAAGAGGTGATTTTTTTGCGGAAAAATTCCTTGACTCAGGTACATGAAACACAAAAAAATTTACAACTCTACAAAATACTGTAAATTAAAGCTGAAACACAACGTATTCATGATTCAATATCAGATAGCGTTGTTTCAACCCATCATAGGTCTCTTAAGTGGTGCTAGGCTGAATCTAGCTATTTGTCTGACATATTGTCGATTATCCATTCATACATGTCCTAAAACTGCAACTTAAACTCCGTCGTTTCTGACAGGACGGGATACTTCATGTTTTCTGTTTTTCCTGAAGTTCGAAACTTGTCCATTAACTGATTAACTTATTGATGGCTCACGTTGTGGTTTGCATGATTCTTAGTATGAATTCTTGCAGCAGCTTTAGCACATTTATTATTCCGATAATATGTTGCAACAATTTCTGTTCTTTCTTCAATACAATAAACAATGTTGGAACAGAATGAACAATGATGATTGAATAATAAAATCGTGAAGAAGTGACAGTGGCCAACTATCTACTTTTTGTTCTGCGACAACAAGATTCAACAAAAACTACCAGTGCAGGAATTTGTTTAGTGGTGAGCCGTGTGGTCCAATTTCAAGAATTTGAACGATATTGTTTCGGATATAGTTTCATATATAGATTTTGAGAGTTCCATAAAAGGCTGCACTTCCTGAGGATTATACTGGGTCACGACCACTTTTCCAGAACGAGCGACGCCATTTCTTTGAGAACGTTATTCGTAATTTTTTTGGTTAACGGAACCCTTCGTTTAAGAAGGTATGAAAATTCATTTCGATCCTTTCAATTGCATATGAGATTCACCTTTTAGTGAATCGAACTTTTGAATGAATTTCCATTATGGAAATTGTTTTTTCAGGGTTTTAGTATTGGAGACTCTCTGCAATAGTTTTTCTGCAGAAGAGCTTCTACAGAACTTGTTTGGAATCATTAAAGAGGTAAGAACAAGGACTTCTATCTCTGATTGCCTTACGGAATAGATTCTCAGTTAATTTACCGAATGGTGGGTTTTTCATTCGTCCAGTTCGATAAATGTTATTGTCCACGTCCACACGATAGCCCAAGTCCATTTTAAAAATTAGAATAGTACGTGCTCCAAGTCTGTCCCGTTCTTGGTCGAAGAAAACTGCAGCTACAGCTCGACGAGAAACTAACAGGCAAATATTACTTACAATTGACTCATTTTTGCGAAAATAACTACTTTTTGCATTAGAAATACTGATTTATTAACATGATACAATTATTGAATTTTGAGTTGATCCATTTATAATGTAAACCTGAACTGCGTTTACTCTGGTGAGGTAATTTTTAACACCATTTCTAATAATTATTTTTTTCTATGACAGGAATCTTATAACTAATACTTTTCCTAATATTTTACCTGTACTATCCTTAGGTAAATGAAAGCGTACTTTTACCTACGGTCATTATTGAGTTATTACAATTTGTCTTACACATGATTAAATGGCAAATTTGGAGCACATTCAGATTTTGATTTCTACCCTTATTCAATTTACCAGCCAGTATTTTGTGAACGTCAAGTATCTTCAGAATATCTGATTTTTATAGTTTCATTTCATTGCCGTGACTTAAAGAATTAAATTTGATTAGATTTGGTTTCACAGTCGACCAGATCATGTATAATTCATTTTATTGACTGTGTGGCGCTCAACTTTATAAAACAAAATATTCAATTGCTGAAATTTCAAGATACAGAAAAGTTTTTTTGAACGAAATCCACGTGCATAGTGGTAGTAGTCCATAGTGCATACCGACGAAGAGCTGCCGTACGCATTGCACCTATCTTTCGAGTAAATCTATTTTAATTTTAGTATTTCATGAAAGATATGGTCACAATAATTGAGTATGTACCTGAGGTATAAAAAAGTTGGGTAGATGCTCTAGGTTAGGTAATTATGATCAAGTATGTACCTGATCAGGTAGTTCTCACTCGTGAATGCATGGGGTCTATAAAAGTTAGACAAACAAGATCTATAAATCATGGAAATATTACTGAATCAATGCACATAATTCGTGACGAATAATATGATAATACTTGAAGCATGTTATTCATTTGGCAGTAAGCTACAATGGGGTCGGCTAGTTGATAGTAAAATTAGTTTCAAATCGGGATTCATTTCCAATGTAATGTTAATAATTGGTTTCTAACTTGTGTCGCATTAAGTTTCAAGATTTTTTTCATTGGAACAGCCTAATAATCTTGTTCTCTTCAAAGACCGCACCGTACCATAAAATGGCAGAAAATGTAATTAGGAATCGTGATGCTAGTATTTCAATGGGCACAGGAGTTCATGGGATTCAATGTTATCGAATGTCTACCTTTATAGCGATTTTATGACTTTCTCTGGATACAATAAAATGAAACATTGAAGTTACGACTATTTTTATTGGCGTTTTGTCTTCAACAACACAATAATTTGCGTGAGGATGTATTCAACCTTGGGAAAAAACGGTGTAACGCTTGTTGAAATTTTAAATGCTCTCGCTGAACGGTCTTAAAATTTCTAATCATCGTATTGGGAATTGTTGCCACATAAACGCGATGTGAGTTGAATGAACTTGACAATGGAATACGTTACAGTTCTTCAACCAATTTTGCCGTAATAATTGGAAATATCCACTACTAAAGACCAAAGTTAATCACTTCAATACTCTGATCCTCAATTTTTTCTAGTATCTATTTACTACCAGGGATCACTCCATCATAGAAATCTCAAAGAATAATTTTTGAGAAACTAGACAGCGGAGCTCAACTTCCGTTCGCCTCGCCCGATCACACTTTTTGTAACGCTCTCGTTACAAAAAAAGTTTTAATACAAAAAGAAACTGACTGCAATATCAAAGATTCGCAAAAAATCAATTTCACGGTTTGGTGTAATATTCATTACTACAGCAAAGGTTCCAGACAGTGCATCATAAGTTCATTTTTTCCATTGAAAAATATTTGACATTTTTGTATTTTTATAGTACAGTAAAGACTGGAAATGTTGATGAGGTCATACAAAGAGTTATGTGATTTCTAGGGGTTTGAACATATAGGCCAGAAGATGAATTTGAATTCATTTCATAACCACTGAAAATCATACCAATGATAGATTTCTCCAAATACTTGATAACTCCAAACGTTAGCTACTTCAGTGGCGCTGGAGCTGGAGGGGACAATGTGTGAAAGTTGTTGAATGAATCATGCCGTGTCAAAATTTTTGAGATCGGTATTCAATTATGTTTGTGTAAAATTTTGAAACCATTTATTACCTATTGAAAATTCTTTGTCCACGCCTATGTTGAATTTATGATTTTATGTATTTAGTGTGTAGTGAATTTTATGTTTCACCTTACTACGAGGAATTTTTCATTTCATTATTCACTTCGTGAATAACATGTTCTTTAAAAAAACATCTTTTTTTAAAAGCTCGTTATTCACAATATAATATTATGGAATCATTTATGGCATATTAATATAATAGTGATTGAAATAGAAGATATTTTTATTACAAAAAAAATTAAAAATCGCACTCAACTGAATGTTTTTGAGTGTAAATATTGTCAGCACTGACTCGCAGTTAATGAAGCTAGTTAATGCTCTTGCCTCCGATGAAACTGACGGGTTTCTTCAGCTGAATTATTGGTCGTTTCGAAAGTTTTGTCCGTGTTTTTGTAACTTCATATCTCAATAAATATTTATTCTACTGTGTCGTGATATACAGTGCTTTTCTTTAATGTCCCCTTCCCCCTTTTATTTTTTGAACGGGTCAACTCAAAATATTGAAATTTGGGATAATGAAATTGATGCATGAATACTTTATTTTGAAGAGAAATTGAGAAATGGAATTTTCAACATGGCGACTGGGCGTCATCTTGAAAAAAATTAAATGGATGAGTTTTGTGACACATCTTTTTAAAGCTCCTGACAAATGCTTCACAATCCTAGAATATAATGTCAATATCATCAACTACTACAATATGGCGTAACTTTTAATAATTTCCTGAATACATTGATATTTAACTACATAATATGAGGTAATAAGCTTGAGGTCAGTTCAGAAGATGCTCGAAATTGATGCCTTGAACTTCTTGACATATGAACAGCCTATCCGATATTTCATGCCGAACATTTTCGAACACAGTAACGTCAATATATCTACAAATATTTATTATTCTCTGCCGTAACCCCAATATTGAAGAAGGTTCAGTTTCGTACACTTTTTGCTTTAAATAGCCCCATGAAAAAAGTCCAGAGGTGTCAAATCTGGCGAGCGGGCTGGCCATTCTGTGGAACCTCGACGGCCAATCCGACCGGGAAAAGTAGTATCCATCTTGTTGGAATACAATATCCATATCGAATTCAATAGAATTCGCTTCGACGATTTCAGTGATGAGAGGGTCAACAGTTGTTTCCAGCATATTCAAATACAGTTCCTCTGTTAAATTTTGATCAATAAATAGAGGTCCTACAATATGGTTTCCCAATATTCCTGCCCAAACGTTGATTTTTTCTGGATATTGGATACGTGTTTCCCGGAGAACGTGAGGGTTGGTGTCACTCTAATAACGGCAATTTTGTCTGTGAATATTGCCGTTTAAAAAAATGTACATTCGTCACTAAATCAAATATTGTGGAGAT